CCCCACCTTGGGACTGGTGCTGAGTGTGGAGCCTGCTAAAGATTCTCTCTCTTTGCCCCTCCCCCACTTGTGCATATGCACACTCGAGCTCCCTCTTTCTCTGTCTGTCTCTCTCTCTCTCTCTCTCTCAAAGAAAAGTTGAATGAATCTTTCAGAGAGGCAATTTTCTTCCTGCATCAAGAGCCTCAAAAATCTGTATGTTCTTTGAATCAGCACTTTCGTTTCTAGGAATTGTCAGAGATGTGAGCAAAGATTGTGTGTGTGTGTGTGTGTGTGTGTGTGTGTAAATGCAACAAGGTAAATGCAACCTCATTTTAAAAAGCAAAACTTTTGGAAACACAGCCAGTGTCTCAAAGGGAAAGAGTCCAATAAATCACAGCTGTGTTACACAACCATTATAATTAGTATTTTGAAAGAACTCTTTATGACGTGGGGCAGTGCCCCACAATAGTATATAGAACAAAATATTTGTGGTATGTTCTCAGCCACGTTTTAGGAAAGTGTATACGGAACAATCACCAGAATAAAATGCACCATCAGTGTAAATTGTAGTTATCTCTAAGCAATTGAATATTACATTATTTCATTGCCTTTTTATAGTGATGTGCATTCTAGATTTTCTACAGTAAGTTATTCTAACTTACGATAATAGAATGTTCTGTTCACTGTTGCGATTGTAAGGAGCGCATAAGGGACTGCGGTACCGCAGTCGTCCTTCCACACAGTTAATGCAGACGGTGTCGTTACTGTCGTACGAGAAACTCCCCATGGAGAGCCCACATAACACAAGGAGTAAGAGAACTGGCTCTGGAGGTGGGCTCCCCGGGTTCAAACCTTAGTTGTGCTATTTCGTTACTATGTGAACACTGGCACACCGCTAACCCTCTCTCTTTACGTTAGCGCTCCCGTTGATAGAAATGGGATCATCACATAAGGCGGTTGTGAGCAGCAGACTTAGTTAAATGCCCAGAACATAGTAAGTGTTCAGGAAACGGTTATTCTTACATTGGATTTATGTATGAAGCTATTTAACTTCTGTTATTTTTATACCTTACTATTGTTTATTTTAAGGCTAGTAACAGATTTTTTTTATTGACCCTCCCTTTCCTTTTACTGTAGCAAATGCATTCCCTTTTTTACATTTTGTGTGTTGTATTTAACTCCCTGTATTCCTGGCACAGTTGCTAGGTGAGATGGTTAACTCCACTAGATACAGACTAATCTCTTAGTCACTTGGCAAGTTTGGAATTCCAGGACTTAGTTAGATCATGTGACAGTATCAGTTATGTGTCCAGCCCTCTGCTAAGCCATGAAGAAATCATAAGGATGATGCATACTTCCGGCCACTCAGTCACCCAATGTTTACTGAATGTCTGCTGTGTGTCATGAACCAGGAATACAGAAATGAAGAAGGCAGGGTCCCTGCCCTCAAGGAGTTCACCCTAGATAGCCAAGAATTACATGCATGAAATAAATGCACCATTTGAAATAAACACAAGATAATGTGTGTTGGGGGCAGCCAGGGTGTAGGGTAAGCTAGCCATAACAAGGTTCCCTTAGAGAGGGCCTAAAGTGTATTGAAATAGCCACTTTTTAGAAAGACTAAGAAGAAGCAGAGTTCCAGGCAAAGGCAGTAGTATGAAGGCTTATAAGTAAAAAAAAAAAAAAAAAAAGACATGTCTGTGCACATTTAGGCAATTTGGCAAGGTGTAAGAGATGAGCTGAGAGAAAAGCAAGTCACAAGTCTCAATTGTATTTTTAGTGAGGAGATGGTAATAGATTTGCCTTTTTAAACGTTGTCTATGAAAGTGTGAAAGGTGAACCAAAAAACGTGTGGGGACAGCTAGACAAAAGGCTATCGCTGTAACTCTGAAAGCAGGAGGGACACTAGGTCAACACAGAAATGGTGAAAATGGCAAAGAGAATAGAAATCAAGAGCTGTTTAGATGGTGACCTTTAGTTGTACTGGGTAAAAGTGAGGGAGGATATAGACTGGACTCCCAGATTTCTGAATTAAGGGGGTGGGCAGATAGTGGGGTTGTTCACTGAGCAGGGAACCCCAAAGGAAAAGCAGGTGTGAGGGGAAAGGCAGTGGGGTCAGGCTGAGGCATACTGAATTCAAGATGACTTTGGGTCACTCACCTGGAACTGTCAAGTAAGAAAACATACGGGTCTGGAGCTTCGCAGCACAACCTTGTGAAAGATAGCATTTGGTCCCTGAATCCATGAATTGAGTAAAATTGACGTAGGGAGAGTCTGTAGAATGAGATAGTGAAGAGGGCCAATGACAGAATCCAGAATTGCAGCTTTAGCAAGATCTCAGAGAGAAGTAAGCAAGTAGGAGACCAAATGAAGAGAAAGATTCAAGATTTGGGGAATAGCCAACATAATGAAATGGTGCTTTGGGGAATTTTATAGTCTGCCTGGTAAGTCATGCATCTGCAGGTGAAGAAATGAGTTAGGAAAGTTGCCCACGAGTGTCCTCAGTTAAGTGCCTAAGAAGGATAAAGACAGTTCTTACAGAGATAAGAGGAAAGAAGGTATGGAGCTGACCTAAAACTTGATAAAGGTGATGAGACTTCACTGAGCCTGAAATATGGTTAGAATTGAAACCGGGAGAGAGAGATCATTTCAACTAAGAGGCCCTGAGATTTGCTCAAATCCATCCTCATGTCTGAAGATAACTGGAGGTGGATTTTCTATTGATTGCGGTCATCAGCGTCATCTTTGAATAGTGAAGACAATGTTTGTTCCCTTTTAGTAATAATGCCTGTTGGTTACACAGTATCTCATAAAATTGGATACACTGTTACCTGACACCTTGTACAAGATTAAGGAAGTCACAACAAGAAAACAATATGGCTTACGCATAGCAGGTTCATTCCAGAAACACAGATGTGTCTAAGTTTGAGGACATCACGAGGGTCAAATTCAATGGGAAAAGATAAGTCCTGGTTATAGATCCTCTTAATTTTATCGTAGCTTATTCTAAAATCCTTTTGGCTTAATGTAGCTGTTCCTGGCTGTAAAGTTGCAGATTCCCTGCCCCATATTTTCCCTAGCCTCTGTTGGCTAAGCTGTGGGTTTGTGAAAGGAAGCAAGAAAGGAAGGAAACGTAAGTGCCCCCACCGCTCCTGTGCACCTTCCAGTCCCTTCCATCTTCCCATTCCACTCACTGGCCTCTTTCTTCTTGAGACCACTTGACTTGCAATGCAGCATGGGTGTATAGCTCTTCATTGACCAAGAGGAATATCTGGAGGACAGAAACAGTCAGGCGTTACCTTGGGACATTACCTGTCAGCATCTGTCCGTGCTAGTTTGCTCACAATTCTGTCTTTTGAATTGCTTCCCACAGCCGACACCATATCTGCAAAGAGGATGGTACAGAATCAGGAAAAGTCATTGGAAAATCAGGTTCAGGGCTGGCCATGCCACTTCCCTAGCAGTATGATTTTGTATAGGCCACTTACCCTCAGCTAGTCTCAGTCTTCTCAGAATTTGTGTGACAGTCAAATGAGATAATATCTGTGAAGGAGCTTTATGGCTGCAAAATGTTATTCACGTGTTAGGCAGTGGTCTAACATAGGCTATCATCATAGTCATGAAGAGGATGTGGAAGGAGAGGGGGACCAAGACTGCTTCTCCTCCTAAATCTGTTCTGAAGACCTAGACCTTCCATCCAATCCTTAAATTCAACAAGATTCCTCCAGAGCCCATCTCCTCTAGTCCCCATTAATCTGCTGATTTATCTTGGCTCATGAAGTGTTTGATGCAACTGCGTAGTACTAAGTCAACCCCACCCTTCTCCCCTTAGCACACAGCAGAAGCCCTTAAAATCCACTCCTAAAGAAGAAAAGCGGGAAACAATTTACAAAATGCTTCCTATGGGCCAGGCACTTTCTTTGTCTGAGATTCTGTTCCACAAACCACAGACTTTTCCCACAGAGGAGAAATTAGGAAGCCTTTACAGCTGAGACCAGTGGAAATTACATTTCTATTAAAAGCTGTCTGTGGCTAGATGTATCCATCCCAGTACAAAGTTAAATGATGTAATAAACTTATTCGAAGACATAAAGCCATTACATAAAATGCCATTAAATATCTTCCACTCAGTGTTAACAAAATACAGCTATAAATCTCCTTGGGTTGTAATTCTGCAAGTCGCTGATTCTCAGTGGGTTATACATCTGCCAGTTCTTCACTGTTAAATTCTGTTTTCAGTCCTGGCAAATGGGATGTCAGGGACGCATAATCCTTTGAAACATGACGGTTTTCAACTTTTTCATAAACCTGAAAGTATTCAGTTTCTTCTAAGGCTGGTTACTGTCACCATTTTCTACCTGCTGGCCAAGTGCAGTGTTGAGGACCCATATCTCCCATAACCTGAAGGTCAGAAGAAAGGAGGCCCAGCCAACCACGTTATGACTCAAGATTCAAGGTTGGGAGCTGGCATATATCTGCGCTCTGGGACTGATTCACAGCTTCTCACATGAAACCATGCATCTAGGGAAGAGAGCAGTTGAAAAGAATACAAAGCATTCTGTCTGGGAAAATTCTGTGCCCCCTTTTCCTGTGGGTTTTCACCTAAACCCCAAACCAAGAGGAAATGCACATGAGATCCAGATAAGTCTCATCGAATTTGCCTAATTCTATGAATTTGTCAGGATTTCCATTTCCTTTTGCAAGCCAAGTCCTAAATCCAGATGGACCCCATCCTTTGGACCCTTACCAAACAAAATGGCAATAGAATGGCAGTGAGAGCTATGTCAGTGAAGGGGATATGAGAGAAGCTATCAGCATTTGCCCAAGTCTTGCAGGCTGTGGGCTCTCTTCCTACACATGAGCAGTCAGACCAGATTGGAAAAAATGTTGACTCATTCCTAGACACTCAAGGCTTCTCTGGAGGGACCCTCCTTGCTCTTACATGTGCTCACCCCTCGCAGGGCTGTCACTGTAGGTCAGCCAAGGCAGCCTCTGATGCTCTTGCTGTGTTTCTTCAGGAAACAGCATCCTCCACTCGGCAGCCGATAGCGTGACCAGCGCCGTACAGAAAGCGAGCCAGGCCTTGAACGAGCGCGGGGAGCGGTTAGGCCGAGCAGAGGAGAAGACGGAAGACATGAAGAACAGTGCCCAGCAGTTTGCGGAAACTGCACACAAGGTGGGTCCCGCAGAGGGGCAGGGGTCTCCACTCCGGTGGTCAAGGAGCTTGGGCTCCAAGAAACTCATTTCAGTGCATTTCCCAATGCTGGAAGATACAAAATCAAGCCTTTTGTTTGTCTGTTTGGCCCCTTTATGCAACCTGTTGTTTAGTAAGTACCAGAATCATGAAAGATTTCTTCTTGTACCTGTTTCTCCATTTATCTCCTTTCTAATGCCTCTGCCTCTGACCTTGGATCTGGGTCTTTGGAAAATGTGGACCATTTTTAGTTCCTGCCCAGAATTTTAGCGCTCAAGTTTCAGGGAACAGGATGGGGAGATCAGATCTAAAAATATCCATCCTCCCTTGGCCAGTGCTTGAAAAAGGACTTTGGGCTGCTTGTGCTTTCTTTTCCTTGCCGTCCTTTTCCCGTCACGGCCATGAGCCTAACATCCTGTGTTCTTATCTCTTCACTGTATGGAAAGCAAGCTCTAGTCCCCAGACACCATGCCCCCCGGGGCTGATTGCCCCCTGTAAGAGGCCTTCCATCGCTAAGGCTGACCTGACTCCTGCAGAGCTGCCCACAAGGTTCCCACCTGCCTTGAATCCAGGGCATGGCGTTTCCCATGTGACCACAGGCATACACATGCACATTCACACACTCCCTAAGAATGTGCCTTTCAGAAGGGGAAAGGGGAGTTTTTATTGGCAGTCCACTCTCTGAGGCAGTCACAAACCAAAGGAAAGAGCTGCCCTGTTGGTCAAGTGATAAAGAGGATTTATTGCTGATCTTGTGCTTCGGGTCAAAGGGCAGTTGTCTGGCTAGGGATTGGAATTCAGGTTTCCAGAAACCACCTCTGCTGATAACTATTGGCATCTCCGACTCATGATCCAGCCTTTCAGATCTGCTTTTTAGGTGACCTTTGGGGAAAAAATTAACTTGCTCCAACAGAAAACCCCATTTCTGTGGAAGAAATAAGAATAGACAACCAGAAAAGTCATGAGATAAGTCTGCCCAGCTGAGGCTATCTTGCCGCTCCCGGGGGCTCATGCCCAGGCCTGACTGTGGATCTGAATCCCAGTGGATGCTTCCTGCCTTCCCCTCTTGCTTCCCCCTTGCACAGACCTGTCTCCTCCATCATCAGGTTCTCTGTTGTGACACGGTCTCACTGCACGCCCACCTCAGGGCCCCATTTGGGGTTCCCTGGAGGAGAAGCAGTCAGATGTGGCTGAAAATGCAGGCAGCCCTGCTGAAGGTCAGACCCTTGCTTGTCGCAGAGAGAGGGAGCCCAGATTTAAGGTCCGTTCTCCAGCCTTGGTGATACAGAAATAATGATGAGATGGCAATGCTAGAATTCCCACCCCGGTTTCATTTCTATAATGTTGTGGTTTACGGGGGCATGGGCAGTAGAAGTTTGGAGAAACCTTCAAAGTGTTGGCTTGGGGAAGAGAAAGCTAAAAGGAACAGTTCTTTAATTGTCTTCAAGTCTGGGAAGAGTGAGAGTGCAGGCAGTTCTCTTGTGTGACTTACCACACAGAACAGAGCACTTGGCGCACTGATAAGATTCCGCTCAAACTAGAGCGTAAGTTAATGATTAAATCATGAAGCAGGTTACCAAGGAAGTCTGTGAAATCGCTCTTCCTAAGGCGGAGTAGACAATACCTGGACGTCATCCATGTGGGCGTCCCCCTTGGAGGAGGTTGTACAAACACGGGGTTGGATAGCCTGACCAGAGGGCCACGATTCTTGGCCCTGGTCGCCCTGTTTCCCTGATGTTGTGGCCGAGCTTACTAGGTGGTTGGGAAGGCAGGACGGTGTGGTTAACATCTTGTGTTTGATTTGCCCTCCCAGTGACCTTGGGCAAGTGCCTAATTTCTCTAAGCCCCAATTCCCTCATCAATAAAATAAGGCTAATTAATGACAGTGTCTGTCTCATAGGGCCTTGAGAGAATTGAATGAATTCAAACCAATAAATCTATTATCACAATACCTGGCACATATAAATCAAAATAATATTGGTTATAATTATTTCCAAAAAATGGTTCTGTTGAACCTGCCCTACTCAGTCACCTAACCAGCACTGTACAAGGATAGAGAAATGTGGTTGAGGAGCCTAACAAAGGTATCGGGGAGGGACTGGAGAGAAGGTTTTGTGAGCCCCAAAGTAGGGTGGGCAGGGCTCCTGCTAAATGCTGATACCTTCTAAACACAGAACAACTCTTGAAACAGGGCTTGTCAGAACAGAAACTGATTAGTCCACCACAGGCAAACGGGCCTCTGGCCTTGACCACTGGGAGGATCGGTGCCAGCCAGTGGCCTGTTTTCAGTAGAGATGGAAGAGGCGGGGGCCAGTGTGCCCTTGTTTTGGTTTCTTCACCCGTGGGTGTTCTGAGGGGGAGGTGAAGGGGTTGCTGGTATCTATTAGTGTGTTTGAGGGAGTGTGAGCGAGACACTGTCCTGGCCAGACATGGTTTTCTACAACTGGGATGTGTGCTTATGAATCACCAGCATTGGCAGTATTCCCGAGGAGGAGAGTGACCTCTTTAGATAAGGGGTGGCTCTTTTCTCAGGGACTAGGACTCCCGATTTAAAGCCACTGCCATAGCCTGACCATGAAGATGTCATTTCAGTGGCCAAGCCCCCACCAGACCTGCCAGTGAAGAGGGCGTTCAGAGGGAACCCAAGCCCTTCTGCCCCAGACAAACAGCTGTGTTGATTCATAAAGAGTGGGACTGTGTTTACAAGTGGAGGCACCGTGTGCATGTTAGCACCCTGAGCAGACAACAGTGCCATGCACCCTGGTTGAATAAGGACACGTAACCCCCAGCCAGAGAGTGTGGCACACTTTTCTAGATTGCAGTAAATAGGGTCTAACTTTCCCCGGGACTCCTGCAATGACCCAGGCACATTAACGTGCGGATCACCTTTGCACAACCCCGCCTCCGAGATACGTGGGTGCTTGTCTCCACTAGGGCAGATGGTGCCCCGTCTGGGAAGTACTCCTGTACACAGTCTCCCCCAGCTCTGTTGAGCCTGCCTTGAGGAAGCGTGGCTCCTTCCTGAGCTATGGACTTGGCACGGTCTCAGGCGCAGAGCAGGCCTGCTCACTTTCCCCTGCCCCAAAAAACCCAACATTGCAGTGCGTGCTGTACTGTGACACCTGCCACAGGCAGTGAGTCAGCAGGCAAGAGCAGCACCCACACCTCGGCATCCTCAGATGACACTTCGCACAGAAAGGAACAGTGATCCGCCCTGTTTTGTACAAGCTCATGTTGGGGTTGGGGGAGGGAGAGAGTGGTAAGAGGTACTTCTCTCACTGGCAGGGACTGGCTGCCTCTGTCCCTGCTACAGTCACCTGCTCCCTTTGGGCCCCTGAACCAGAAAGAACCTCAAGAGTCCAGGCCTCTTAAAATCCCACCCCCCGCCCGGTACAAGTAATTTATTTCTGTTATTATAGCCTACACAGCTCCAAAGGAGAAAGCTTTCCGTGAGATGTTAAGAAAACAAAATATACCAGAAGGAAATTTTAAACTCCTCTTCTGTAGGAAATCTAACATCTAAACTGATCCATTAGCATTTAAGTTGGAGATGATATTTATAAACATAAGGAGACTGACATATAGAGCAGTTGTGACTTTAGGGCTCAAGGTCAGACAGCAGATTTGTAGCTGAGAAGCAACAGCACCTCTGCCTTCCATATTCCAGAACTTCTAACTCCCAGAGAATTTTTTAAAATGAAGAAAAAAAAACATGGAAATGGTGCCACTTTCTGCAAAGACACCGCAAATAGTCAAATATCCAAACCAGCCATATTCTGCGATGCTGAGTTGGCCACACCCCCACCTGGCTGGGGCCCCTCTTAGCACCATCCCAGACAGCACAGTGGTACCAGGGCCTGGTGCACAAGCCCTGTGCACTTGTGAACTGGCACAAGCCCATTAGCTGAAGGTTAACAGCTCAGTGAATAACAGGACAGCAGCACTGATCAAATATTTATGTTTGGTATTCATTATGCACAGCACTTAACAGCCCTGGTTGATTTGAATGGTCCATGTTGCTAAATAATGTATTAAAACTAGAGACTGAGCGAGAAGCAGAATCCGAACAGCAGAGGGGCCAAGCGCTGCAGGGGAGTGGAATGGATCTGAAGGAGAGCTCTGGCCCTGCCAACTCTACCCACCATGGGTCCTAGGCTATGAACCCTTCGAGGTCAGGAGTTATGAGCCACCTCCACCCATCTTGGCAAAAACCCACAGCACTTAGCACAACCGCAGCCCCATACTCACAAACACTGACCTGTTGATGGACTCGGTGTCCACCCTGATGAAGGTCCGTGGAGGTCTTCATTGAGGCTGGCATCACCAGGCAGAGAAGCATGAGGAGACCTTTCGACTGAGGTGAATTTAGCACCACGAAGGCCTGGGTCCACAGGTCCCTTCTCCATCACATGCTGACCTGGCCCGGTGCACCTGCTGTAAGGGAAATGTCCGGTGCTTTTGCAGGTGGCCTGAGGTCACAGCCCCAGGGTTATAACCTCGTTGTTGGAGACATCAAAGAAAGGGAAAGGGAGACTCATACTGCCCTGGGTCACACTGGAAAAATGGATCATTGACACCGGCCAGACTGATGGATAGCACCACTGTGTTGACTCTGGTGAATCCCCTTGCTAATTCTTCAAGGATCAAGAACCTGATCACAATGCAGATGACAGGGCTTTCTACAAAGTTCTTGCCTGAAGAGAATCACCTGCTGTTTCCTCAAAAACAAACCTTGTCCTCTACTTCCAGTCCCAATCCCAGGGATTAATCCCTAATACCAGATTCTGGACACATGAGGAATTACAGTTGAGGCTCAGCTCTGCCTTCCGGTTCATGTCAGTGTATGGGCTCCTTAGAAAGGATGGAAGAAAAGCAAGGTCAGATTTAACTTTATGTTCTGTACCTGCCTATATTTCCTTAAATATATCATCACGGGCTCTAGCTGGGCTTGGGAAGCTACTGAATGATACAGTGGTACTGGTGTTCCCATTTATAAAGGTCTAACATTTCAGTAAGCCACATTTCTCAAATACCAGTGAGGCATCGCTTCTCAGCCTTTTGGCTAAGATCAAGTGTCAAATACCAGTGGGAGTAGTAAATGAAGGTCTGGGTTTGGTGTACTGTTCAGCGCTAGTCAGTAACACTGCTTCCTCGTCAAGTGCTTTTGACTTGGTTGAAGGTCCAGGCTAGATACTGAGTGGATTAAAGCAAACTTTCTACAGTTGATTTTTAATACTCTATGAGACATCAATCTATACGTACATTTCAGGAGTATTGGTTTTCCTGGATAACTAGTAATTCGGGAGCCCAAAGGCCTTGGTTCTTCCACCCCTCCTCCTAGGCAGGTCTCTCATTCTGCCTGTGCACTGGATGTTCCATTTTCTCCCTTGGAATGCAGGAAAGCCACATAGCATGCTCTGCCACCAGGACACATACCCCAGTGGAACTATTGTTAAGGAAGAGTCACAAACACAATGCCCAGTGGACTATTTGAGAAAATGTTGCACATTTACTAGATATGCACATTTACTTACTGCGCATAGTAAGGTGATCTGCCACAGCAAGTGAAATCTTAGTCCCATCTCTCAGCATGGATTTGGGGAGGGAGCAGCACAAATGCCTAACAATGCCTTACTCTGCCACCCCTCTCTTTCCGTAGCTCGCCATGAAGCACAAATGTTGAGAAGCTGCCTATCTGGGTGATGACCCTCTCAAGAGAAATGGAAGAGCTCAGTGGTTTTTACAAGAATTCCGGACCTCTCCTTGCTTCTTTTTTCCAGTATATGGACACTTAGGGTTTTTTTGCTTTGCCTTTTCAGATGTGAATATGAAAGAAAAGAAGTTGTGTTGACACATTTCACTAATGATTTTGCTAGGAAATGCTGCAGCAGGCATCAGCTTCATTTGGTTTTTGTTTTCCTCCACTGTGTGTATGTAGGTCTTTAAATGTGTTTTCTTTCTTTAAGGTTTTTTTTTTCTTTTCGGTAGTTTGAATATAAAATTTGGACCAAATGATATCCTGAGCTGGTTCTAAACTGGCAACATGTATTTTTTTTCTTGCTATTAAGGCAGAGAGAGGTGCCTGGCTGGCTCAGTTGGTAGAGCATGCAACTCTTGATCTTGGGGTCATGAGTTCAAGCCCCACGTTAGGTGGAGAGCTTACTTGAAAAAAAAAAAAAATGTGATTATTAAGCCGGAAGACCTTCGAATATGGAGACATGAGATGTTATTGTTCCTGGATGGAAATCAAAGTCAAGCAGTGATTGGTCTCTCCATCTCCTAGCCGCTCTTAATTTGAAGGTTAAGATTCTATATCTTGAAACAGAAGTCTGTATTATGGAAAACATTTGGATTTATCAGGGGAAACAGCGGTCTTGAATTTTGCTTTTTATGTAGTAATCTCTTGCATGAGCCACCACCAGCATTCCAAAAAAAAAAAAAAAAAATCAGAATGACAGATACAAATCTACTTTTTGAGCTTCAGTTTAAATATTTCCAGTAGTTGTTCTCAGGCTGATTATCTGCAATTATGAAGGGTAAAAATTCAAAACAAAAGGCCTAAGGAAAAGCTTGTTTAAAAACTTCTGTGCATTCATGGATGTCTTTCTTTTGTCATTGTCCCAAATTACGGCAGCCAATATTGAAGAGAGCTTGGATTTTTATCAAGAATTGATTTGTCCAGATAAAGGTCCGTGTAAATGATAATGTGAAAAGATACTACATTTAAAATTTCTTTTTACAAAGTCATGCCAATTTTAGAAACACCCTCACAATATCCTCGGGAAATGGCCTTCAGTTTCTTGGTATCTGATTTTTGGACATTTTGATGTTGTTATTGCTATTTATTTAATGTAACTTAAAGTGTGGGTGTCTTGACAAATTGTATTTCACGGCAATTGCAACTTGCCTGGTCTGACATAAAACATGGTCATGAAGCCTTTACAGTGCAGTCAGATTGAATAAAGTTGGTTCCCACACCTCCTGATTTTGTATTACTCCAGTGAGTGCTAGGTGTAGAGTCTGGGAGTTTTGTTTCTTAGAGGGTTTAATGCTAACTATAAAAGTTGTGTCTTCATGAAGCAAGGAGGCAAGCTGCACATCCCAGACAGTCTCAGCCTCCCACTGCAAGACATTGATTTTTAAGCTGCCTGAATCTTCAGGACCCCTTTCTATTCCTTCCTACCCACTGAGCCGATTGAGTCATGTGTATTGTAGCCTCTTACACAGCAGCAGAAGATCTCTTTGGAATTATTTATGCTGATTTAAATAGCTTAAGTCTCCTGATAAAGCATTCCCTGGGAGACAAAAAATTGGGCTTTTAGAGCAAAAAAAAAAAAATTATCTTTGTATGTATCAAAGGGAGATGGGATTTGCCAGAGACAAATTTCTGAATCCTCTTAGGGAGATGATCCAGTTCAAGAAAACTCTGTAAAACTACATAAGTTTACTATAAATTTTGTACCTTTCTTTCAGTGTCAAAAAAGTTCAAAGAAGCTAGGAACTTTCTTTCTGATGAGTACCATTAGAAGCATTTATAATTTCTAAGAAAAGCCCAATATTATCACTCCAAACAGGTTTTGTTTGCAGACCCCAGTTCAGGAAATACACATACACAGAGCTATTCATCTTCCAAAGTTGGATTCTAGCTACGTAGTTGGTATAGATAATTGAAAGCGTAAATCTAAAACTTCCTGACAATTGGCCAAACGCAGAAATAAATCTGTTGCCAAGTATCCAACAAGAGTGTTTGCAGAGCCACTTCTTGTGCAGAGGATTGAGGTCATGAGCATACTGTGAAATCTGAGATTCCCCATCCCCGGTAGAATTATGATAGCTACTCTTCCTAAACGTAGGTGTCCCACATCGTGCCCTCTAGCTTCATTCCGTTTATCCTTTTAGACTTCAGTCTTCCCGGAAATAGCTTGGATTAGAACGCCTATCTGAGTCTTTATTAGCTTCCTCTGTTTTTGCTTCCAGGCCGTGGCTATGCCCTCGACTTCCCCAGGTTAAAGCCCGACCGAGGCCTCCACCTTACAGAGAGGCCAGAACAGCAATCCCCCGTCTTTCCTCTACCTCCTGACCTCTTGCAGAGCTGCCCTGTGATGACACATGTGAAGTTCTTTGCTATCCTCTTGTAGAAGGTGCTGCAATACAAAATATTAATACAGTCTAGCCTAGAGAAAACTGCTAACTTGTCACATTGTTTGGGACCAGTTGGTTTGGTTGAGCTGCTAGAAGACAGTTCATTTGTTTGTTTCATTTCTGCACTCCATTATGGGTTTTTGGGATACTTTCTTTCTGTGAAGGACTCTTCAGTTGTACTGACAACACATAAAGAAAAGAAGCTCCCCAGTATATACTGCTTCTTCCTGGAACATAGCGTAGTATTCTTCCCTAGTATTAGCTATCTGTATGCAGGACGCATCCAGTTGTTCAGGTTAATGTTTCATATTAAAGAATGTATTTGTAAAATGTAACAAGATCAGTAGTTAATTTTTTAAGCTCCAAAAAATATAAAAGATTGTGTTAGACTTAAAATTACAGTGAAATCTGTCTTAATACTACTTTTGTGGCTAACAAAGGTTGTGAATTTACGTAAACATATGTACAGAATGCCCTAAAGAAGGGGTCATAAAGATAGGTTCTGCTTTTTGTTTTTAGAATCGTAACACCGCGGCTGTCTGTTGTACAGTTATTAATTCTTCAGAAGTTTCTCTAGGATGTCAAATAAAATTTTTGTTTCTTTCAGAGACAACACCTGCTCTATGATTCACGATTACAGTAAGCTCTAATTTGGTCATTAAATATTTTAACTCTGTGATGAAAGTTTGTTTTTCTCAATCATTTGTTAAATCTATAAAACACAACCAAATAGGCAGGCTTCATCATGCATGCAATGCTGTTGGGAAGATCTTGTGGACTACAGAAGACCTGAGAGCTAGAATCAGCATAATGATAGCGTTTCCTTATATATGTTCTAATGGGAAAACTTGAAATGTGAAAAAGACAAAAGAGCTAACCTTTCTTTAGACCATTAGCTTCTCTCCAGCAAGAGTCTTTGGGGTTTTTTTTTTCTTCTCACAGGCAAAAGAATTAAGCCGGTGAACAATTACCTTTCTGCTGATACTGGTGATGTGGCTCAACTCAGATACTCATTATAGCCTGTGCCCTCATTCAGCAGACTAGTTTCGCGCCCTGTTAAATTGGAAAGAAGACTTGATCAAATTATGTTGATTTATAGAAATAAATACCGTATCACCCACTTGTTTTCGAGGGAAGTGACTTGGGTGAGGCTGTACAGAGCAGCCCTCTGGGTTGGCATGGACACGTGCTAAAGCAGGCAGGACTTCGAAGTGTTTCCTGGGTGGAAGGACAAGACTGTGGTCTCTAGTTTTCAGAGGAGAGAGAGGCGGCTCAGCTGTATTGAGGAAAGCAGCCTTGATTATGTAGCTTAAAGCCCCAATTCCTGCCAACTAATTATAAGCCCACTGCCTTGCAAAGATGATCTTCTTTCTTAATATATTTTGTATTTCCTGGCAATGCTACCACAATTAATTCTCAATTTGAGGAGAGAATGAATATGGTAAGTGGTTTTTTTTAACCTAAAAGATAATATAAAAAAAATCTAATGGTGCCCTTCCCGTTACTGTGAGTGAGGACATGCTTAGGAAAAACTATTGACCCATCATGATCATCATCTGCCTAAAGAGGCAGATTGAGGGTGGGGAGTGGAGGGGGAAAATACCAGAAATAAATTTCAGACAAATACAAATGTTTGAGTGTCGTTTTTGTTGATATCCGTTGTGTGTGCCTCCTCCCCTGGCACAGGTGGGCCCGGGTGGTAGCTGGGCATATGTTTGCACGTTCACACATGCATGCTCACAACTGGCGGCAAGGAAGGAGCTAGGCTGTGCTCCTCCGTGCCCCTGAAATCACCTCCATGACACCTTCTTGGCCTTCGGACATGGCTAGGTGGGTGACAGTATTTCCAGGGGTTCATCAAAACCAGAAAATGCCTCAGGTGGGCCACTGTCTGAGCAGGAGAAATGTAAAGACTCAAGAGACATGGAAAAAGACCACCACCCACCCTCAAGGCAGATCTCACTTTGTTCTATAAACGTGAATGCACTAACAGCCCTCTTGTAACGAGATGGTGCAAACGATGGATTCTCCTTTGATTTTCTTTTTGAAAATCCAGGCATTACATACAAAATGATTTTGCATAGCCACAGCCAGCCTGACACAAAAATTCATCTTCATTTTTACCTCCCACCAACCTCTCGCCCCTCCGTGCCCTTGGCCTTGCCGTCGGACCCTTTGTAAATCCTGCTTCAGCTAACCGCTCCTCGGTGCTACCTGCCATGCAGCGCGGGCTCACAGTGGCCTAGGGCCGGGCCGCCTCGGTCCCGGCTGCCTCGCCGTCACCTGGGAAGCTGATAGAAATGCACATATTTTACTCCGAAACTTGCCCTAGTCGTGTCCCTGACCATCTTGTGTTTTGCAAAGAAAAGAGAAACTACTTCAACTGGCTTTGGATGGTAGGGCACCTGGCTTCCCCAGCTGCTTACTATAAACCAGCAAATTAAAGCTGTCAAGGAAATTAAAGATACTATGCATTTCAGCTCAATTACTGCCATCACGTAACCTCCTGCCTTGACTCCCATTACATTTTCTCCCTTGAGCCTCATCTGGAGCCTCAGGATTTCCTGAGTCTCATTTCACTTCCCAGCCCTGAAGTTTTGTTCCATGGTTTCTTCTTTCTGCTGATGAGTCATGGTCTTGGGGGGGGGGGGGGGGGGGGGGGGGGGGGGGGGGGAGGCTGCCTCAGTGGCACAGGACAGTAGGCCCTGCTGGACATAGGCTGGGGAGGCAATGCTGTCCTGCCTCCGTCGGTTCCACGGGAACCAGCGGACAGAACTAGGGTTCTGAGTCGGCTGCTGCTGTGTATTGCCTCTGTTCTGGCATTCTCTTTTAGACACTGTATATGCCAATGATTCTCAGGTGGAGTGAAGGCTTTTTTTTTTTTTTTTTAATAGAACACACATTTTTTTTTCCTTCTCTTTGTGTGTTCAACCAGCCCAAGGATGGCTATTTAAATGGAGCCAGGCCCCATCACACATCCATATTTAGATGTGTCAGGAATCACCAATCCTGCAAGTCCCTGGTGTCCTTTGTCAACATTAGATAGGACCTTTGTCCTATAAAACTGAATCCCAATTTCTTTGCCACTCATTATTTGTCAGATGACATAGAAAGAAGAAAACTCAACCCATAAATCCTCAGCTTTATCCAGAGATCGAAAACATGGCTTGGATCATTCACAATTTCTAAAGAAAACGGTTACATACTCTGACCATGGGCCCCAAATGCTCTGTGTAATACCACATCCTTGGTGATTAAAGCCTGCAGCTTTCTGTTAGTTTTCTTTAAAATGAATCCTTTCTTTTACTACCCTAGAAGGAAAATCTGGTCCCTACTATTGAACATACTTTGTATTCATAGCACAGTAACTTCCTTCAGGCAGTGTTTTAGACCTGGAATTACAGGGAGTGCCTGAGTGCTCAGTCAGTTAGTGTCAGACTTCAGCTCAGGTCATGCTCTCACAGTTGGTGAGTTCAAGCCCCGCATAGGGCTCTGTGCAGACAACATGGAGCCTGGAACCTGTTTCGATTATAGTGGACAATAATGGTAGGCGCGTTTACATTGGTCTGAAACTTTCCAGTATTAAAGGAGTCTCAGCATTCAGACAGAAACTATGGGAAACAAGAACTGTGTGAATCGCGCCCACCCCACACCCCCAGGAGGAAAAATAAAATACATCTTGTACTGGAGTGGACATGGGCAGGGCGCCCCCTTGTGGTGATTTACTGGAGATAGCATTGCTCTGTAGTTCATAAATGGTCCCAAAAAGGGCCTGTCTGTCCTTCAAATCCCCGCTCCAGTCCTGGTTGGTCGTTGGTCTCTGGCAACATACTGATCCTCTCTGTGCTCATTTTCTTAGCTTTAAAATGGGAGTGATTGTCTACTTCACAGGTTATTGTAAGGATTAAATGAAATCCTGAAAGTAATTTTAGCCCCATACCTGGCAGATAAGGGCTCCGTGTGTGCCAGTCAGCTCAGCAGCAGGCTTCTTCTCTGTGATGGACCCAAAATAAAGGAGGAGAACTTATAGGCTTATGATCCCTGCCAGGCTGCACTGCTGGCTGGAAGAGTGGATGTGTTTTCCTTAAATGTGTGTTGTCCCACGGCACAGGAGCAGACATTTTCCAGGCCTCTTTGGCCATTTTATGATCTGTAGACACAGAACCCTTGACATTTTATCTATCCAGCTGAGGTTCCTGGCCCAAACGCAACCCAGGAGGGGCCATTTTCTGGAAGAAATTTCCAAAAAGACTAAATTCACAAGAGAGAAAAGACAAATTGGCCCTAGGGTCTGTGTCATCACCTATAGGAATGGACACGAACAGCTTTATGGCCTGAGAGAATATGTGACTTGTCCTTTGGGTAGTAATTCATGCTCCTTTTCAAAAAGGAAGTTCAAGCGGCACCTGCATGGCTCAGTCGGTTAAGCGTCCAACTTCCGCTCAGGTCATGATCTCATGGTTTGTGGGTTCAAGCCCCGTGTCAGGCTCTGTGCTGACAGCCAGCTCAGAGCCTGGAGCCTGCTTCAGATTCTATCTCTCTGTCTCTCTCTCTCTGACCCTCCCCTGCTCACACTTTCTCTCTCTGACTCTCCCTCTCCCTCCCTCTCTCAGAAATAAATTAAAAAAAAAAAAAAAGTTCAAGATCTGCAGGTGTTATCTGTGTGACTCCAAGGATGCTGCTACTCAAAAACAACCTATTCCTAGATGACTTAGATTGAGAGTAACTTAGAACCATTCACCCCACAAACAGAATCTGGGCCTAGAGTGAAAATAGCCCTAAGAGAGAAAAGGAAGTAATTCATATCTCAGCGTAAATCGGTCATAGCATGCCTTTTCTGGAAGCATCTTTAGGCATTCAGCTAAAAGAAGGAAAAAAGGACCCAAAAAAACGGATGTCAGCATACTGTTTTCCCATAGCTGTCACAGTGCTGTTAATTATGGTGTCCAAGTAAATCCAACACTATTTGGGAAATAGGTCATTTGTAAAGGACAGTCCAGGTAAGAAGGACCTGGCTAGTTTTAACAGTGAATGTACCCCCAACCAAAACCCAACCTCCACTCCTTAAAAATTGCACTAGGTGGGTTTTTTTTGTTTTTTTTGTTTTTTTGTTTTTTTTTTAGCAAACTGCAAGCCATGCAAGTTTCTATTTGTTAAGTAAATTAACTAGAATCCTTTCTACCAGAGAGCTTCCTGGCTTTGTCATTAGCTTTTTGTCCTCAGGCAAATTACATAATGTTTCTGTATCTGATCCTTCATGTTTCAAAGGAAAATAATCTACATCCTGCCTGCCTCACAGTCCTGGTGAGTGAAGTGAGGTGTGCTAGGAGAAGGAACTCTTTGAAATACAAAGTGCTAATGAGGTGAGGTCATTCACTAACACACTGGTCTGCAAGTCCCCACCCAGCGCCTAAGGGATTCCTTTATCTACCACCCCGTCCCCCTATAGGTCTGACCCTGCGTGATGATGCCAGATGACATCCTCATCCCCACTTCCCCCTCTCCCAAGGAAAAGAATCCCCCACAGAGTGTTTGATGCCACTTGCCATCATGGGAAGTAGAACAAAGGCCATATAAAGAGACAGTCCCAGGCTGCTCAGGGCAAGAGACACCTGGGCTTAAAGGCAACCCCCAAGGGGAAGACTCAGGGCATATCAGGGGTGGAGGGAGAACACTGTGCTGGATAGCTGGCCTGGGCGCAGCTTCCCCCAGGACTTGGGGTACCTCTTGAGGGTTCTGACATCCTGATGAAGACACCTGCTCTCCTTCCACCTGGGGAAGTCTTTTGTTGACAAACAAAATTTCAGCAACTAGTCAGGGAAGTCAGACAGACTCTTCCCTGGAAGGAAGCACATTCAGGCCCCTACTGTGTCTGGTTGTCCTCACATAAAATGAACATGGAGAGTGCCACAAAAATGGCCAAGGTCTTGGGAATTCACTGAGTAAACATGAGAGGAATTGTAATTCCTGATCTTATTGAAGGATGCAATCTGAGGACATTCTTTCAGACACAGGGAAAACACTGCTCAACTCCTCTCCATGGGAGCAGCATTACTATCCTGATGAAGGGAAGCCTGGAAGTCAGCTCTGTACTCCCCTCTGGGGGTGCCTCACCTGGGCAACAGCAGGAGAAAAGCCTGGAAGAGGCCTAACTGTCTCTCCTCAAGCCTAACACTGAGCTGGTCTAAGCCACCTACTCCAGCTTGTGTTCCTCTGGGCCCCACAACATTCTCCATGGTGGGTGAGCCACACCTCACCCCCCCCCCCACCCACCCACACACACACACACACACTCACTCACAAGCCAGCCCTCAGGCTCATACTACTCACCAGCACTGTTGGATGAGAGAGCTCAAGGAGCCACAGGAGGAAGGGGATGTGCACCAAGGTCCACCCTCTTGGTCTTCATTCTGTGTTCCCCCTGATTCAGTTTCTCCTCCCTGGCATGGAGTAAGGGCGGATGAAGGGCAAAAAGAGGCTCCTGTGGCAGCATGAGGGATAGCGTTAACTCTAACAAATATTATCCTTACAGAGCATGAGCAACAGGAGGGGGCCATTAGGGGAAAGCACTGAATCTATTTTCCAAAGCTATTCTAACCCGTCCTTCTTTGTAAGGAATGATCCATACTAGTCCTGCTTAGTGACAGATGAGGGCTTCTGGAAATCCCCACAAGCCTAATTCCACAAGCATGCCCACAAAAGACATTGGCCTAAAGCTTCATTGTAGGGTTTTTAACCTAAGAAAAGAATGCCTTGAATATTGTGCCCAGGTCTGCCCCTGAATTCAGTTGGGACCAAGAATAAACCCACATTATTCCTCACTGTGCTCTAACCACCCTGGGTGTCTTCCCACCCTCCAACATGCCAGGTCCTCATGCACCGGAAAACCTTCACCTTGTTGTCTCTGCTGCCAAGAACAACACTTCCTTCCCTAACTCCTCACGTGGCCCATCATTTCTTGTCTATCAAGTCTCCACTTACATGTCTTCTCAGAAAGGTCTTCCCTAACCACTGCACCCAAAGAAGAACCCACCGAATGTGTACTCAGCCATGTGTTTTTTTTACTGTCTGGCCCGCATGGACCAAGTCTATTTTGTTTACCTGCTTGCCTGAGGACCTGTGATTTACTACGCATTTAGTACACTCTTATTACATAAATGAACCTTTCCTCCAGTGTAAGTTCCCATGTGGGACACCAAAGGGAGTTCACAGGAAAAAAAAAAAAAAAAAAAAATCCAAGCGGCTAATTATATGAAAAGACTGTCAGCCTTGGAGAGAAATGCAAATTTTTTAAAAGGTGACATTCAAAAGCTGATGACATCCCATAATCAAATACTATCGAATGGGAGTATAAACAGACCACATTTCTGTAGGCAAGTCACCCACATCGATCAAGATTCAAATGGCTGTGCTTCTCTCTCACTGAGCCCCCCAGGGCCACACACTGTGGCCACCAGCCTCCCCAACCACTCTGCAGAGTCTACCAACAGGCCGCTGCCTCCTAGTTATCCCCATTAGCACAGCTGAATTACAGGAAGTTTCTCCAGCCTCTGGAAGTTGGAAAGCAGTTGTCAGGGGCCAATGAAGTTCCCCCAAGCAAACAAACAAATACAATCAACAAATGTTACCTTTCCTTTGCCTGTTTTACATTTGATATTGGCAGGATTCCCACTGCCCCATCCAACTGTGGCAGCATTTTCCTGAACTTTTCAGTGCTCTCCTTTTCTATGGAATTCTGAATCTGGAAAGGAGAGAAGGGATGATGATTTTCTAAACTATAAGTCTGTATCTACTGTACTGGGTAACCCTTTTACTCATCTATGACATTATGGATTTATTGTGTCTCAGCTCCAAACCCCCCCCTTTCTCCCCACCTCCTGCCTGAGACGCTGGAGCTGGACCCTCAACATTGCACCTGCAACTTCTGGATCCCTTGGCAGTTAACTCCTGTTTACTAATTAACAATGATCTATGTTAAATTCTCCCCCATTCCAATAACTGGCATGGTTTCTTTCTCCACCTGAACTCTGCCTGACAGATCATCTCGGGCATCTTGGCACAGCATCTGCTCCCAGACCTTTGCTACTCCCCCCAAGTCTCTTTTGGCAAAATCCTTTACTTCCGGCAAATAATTTCCTACTTGGCTAAAATCAGGACTATCCTGATGCGGAGATTATCCTGGATTATCCAATGAGCCAAATGTAATCATAAGGGTCCTTATAAGAAAGAGGCAGGTGGGTTAGTCAGGAAAAAAAAAACAAAAAACTGTGTGATGAGGAAAGCAGAGAGAGAGAGAGAGAGAGAGAGACTAGAAGATGCTAAACTACTGGATTTGAAGGTGGAAGGAGGAGCCACAAATCCATGAATACAGATGGGCCCTAGAAGCTAGAAAAGTCAAGGAAACAGATTCTGCATTAGAGCTTCCAGAAGGAACACAGGGTTGCCAACACCTTGATTTAAGGACTTCTGACCTCTAGAACTGTAAAATAATACATTTGGGTTGGCGCAAGCCACTAAGTTTGTGGTAATTTGTTACAGCAGTAACAGGAAGACAACAAAGCCCTTCACCCCCAAGGTGAGGTGTTTAAGCTGTCGGGAGCGAACTCCCCCAACGTGGAGGTAGGCATGTCCCACTGAAACCAGGGAGAGACAGGTCCTCTCAAGTCCAGGTTGGTTGTAATCAACAAGCATTTATTGAGGTCTCTGGATCTCTTCTGCGGAGATAGAAAGAGGAATCCAGACCCCAACCTCAAAGACAGAGTCACCTGAGGAGAAATAAAATTTCAAGGCAGAATACGCTAGATGCCAAATGGCTGACAAGTTCGGCTAGGGCTCTAGGCACTCAGAAGAGGCTGGGGCGCCTGGGTGGCTCAGTTGGTTAAGGTTCTCACTTCAGCTCAGGTCATGATCTCGCAGTTCGTGGGTTCAAGCCTGGAGCCTGCCTCAAATTCTGGGTCTCCCTCTCTCTCTGCCCCTCCCCCACCCCTCTCTCAAAAACAAATAAACATTCAAAGAAGAAGAGGAGGTAATCATCCTTCCTCTCAGTGAAATGATTCTCCTCCTATTCAGCCTTTCCGTGATAGGCAGGGAACCGTGTACCCAGGCTTGGTAGCCACATTTACAACTGTTGTCCTATTGTAATCACAAATAGGGACTCCTTTCATCCAAAAGCACCCAGATTCATGATAAACCACATGGTCACTCTAATGATAGGGCATTAGCCAGGAAGCCACTAGACACTCTGCACCCTCTTAGGAACAGCTTTGAGCTTGAATCTCAACACAAAATAAAAAATGATCACCAACTTTTTATGCTACCAAAATCCTAATAGAGAACAGTTTCAGGTGATTGACTGTGAGTGAAACAGACATTTCAATAATACTTGACATACAGCCCTCAGATTCTCTTCCTGGCACAAAGTGAGGAAAACTTAGATTACACTGTCTAATGAGATACAATGATTTTAATGTAAGATACCTCCAGCAGCTGAAGCACCCCAGAAGGGTGGTGGTGTTTTGTTTTTAAGCCTTGCTTGTGAGCAGGATGGAGCCAGTGGCTGGAGAGTTGGGGGAGGGGACACAGAAAGAGCTGAAGAGGAAGAATGTAAGAATGTAAGCGAGGTTGAAGGGGTAAAACAGTGATTTCTGGGATTCTTGCCACATGTACCAGGGTTACTGAGCAGTCATTTGATTCTAGCCTTGAACTTGATGCTCAAGGTGCTGTCCTTTCAAGGACCTCTCTGCTCCAGAGAGGAGGTTGGACAGCAGGGCTCTGTTCCACTCTGCCTGTGCAGGATGGTGCTTTGGGATGTGGAGGTGAGCGCTGTGCGGGGGGCTTCGAATCCATCTGTCATGTCAAACTCAGTGTGGGCTGAATCATGTCACTCAAACCAGTCCATAAAGGGATGAAAATTAAAATGCTGATAAATGAGATCATCAAATTACAGAAAGCTACAGAGTGTGCTCAAGATCACACCTACCTTTGGGGGATTTTGATGAGATGCTGTGTCTTCTAACTGGTTTTTCTTATCTTCCGGCCACCTTATTAGCCAGGATTGTCACAATATTTAATGCTCTGTGTCTTCTGTTGGCTTTTTCCCTGTGTTTTTAAGCTCCTCTTTGCATCCCTCCTTTCTGGGGCAATATCCCCAGCTATCCCAGAGCTGACCTCCGGGTGCATGTGCAGTGTGGTTTGACTCTGTCTCCTTGGCACATTCTACCTCCAACCCCCCCATCCCTTCGTGCCGGGCCTTCCAGAGGCAACAATAACTTTTCTCCCCAGACACTTGTGTAGTTTTGTGAGAAGAGGAGGAAAAAAGACAAAGGAGGGAAAACGGGCAGGGAGAAGAGGCTTGGGTGAGGGGAGCAGGGAGGACCAAGAGTGGGAAATACTGGGAGAGGGGAGAGCGGCCCAGGTGAGGGGGAAGCCCACTAAAAGCTCCTGGTCAGTCACCAGCCCCGTGTCCTGTGTCCCCTTCATGTTTTAACGTCTCACACCCGCTGAAAACAGGCCTGTGGGAAGTCGTAACACTCACCAAACCCTTGACAGCCGCTATTCTTCACAAAGGCTGTGAACAATTGCCCGCCTGCCGGTGTCTGACTGAAATAATAGCTGTACCTACAGGATCATTTGGAAGACAGATGGCAGAGGCGATCCCCATTCATCTGCCAGCGGCCATTTCATAATTCTTACCGACCTGTCAGGCCAGGGATGGGAAGGCAGAATGCAGCCTTGCTAATTGTTTAACCTCATTAGAGAGCTGTTGTTTTAAAGTCAGTATTTGGTCCCACCCCTGTCCTGCTGCGCCCCAGCCCCTCTGTGCCAGCCCCTCCTGCATGGTGCTTTTGAGAATGCCTTTGGTGCCCTTGGAGAAAGCAGGTGTCTTTCTCCTAGAAGCCCTGATGTTTGCTGGGTGGTGTTTATTTTCTCACTTTTTCACTCTGCCCCCCTCCCTAAGGAAGTATTGCAGATCCAAAAAGAGATCCCTCACTTCCCCTACTATTTGCTGCTTCCATGATCTGGCCCATTAGCATTCCATATTTCAAAGTCTGGATGGCGTTTCCTATACTGAGTTGTCATTTTCTACTTAAGGTGCCCAACATGTACATTAGCATTTTTATAGCATGCATTAAGTCAAAGACTTAACTCACTGCCGTGTTTATGGATTTAGAGAACTTTCAAGAGCTCCATATCATGCCAGCACATCTGAAATCCTTGGTTGTCATTCAACAGCAGTTTTTGAAAATCTACTCTGTAGATGTAAACAGGAGTGAGGAGAAGTGGGAGGGCCTTCAAGTGAGAGCAGCTTACTGAGCATCAACCTGTGCACTGATACAGCATCCTCACTCGCTTCAGTGCTAGGCAGTTGCCATCTTGGAATTCTTAATCACTTGTGAACAAAAACCCCACATTTTCATTTTTGCACTGGGCACCACCAATTGGATTGGTTTTGTAAGGGCTCAGGAAGGGGTCCCTCGTGAGCCAAAGCTGAGAAGCTAGAAACTCCAGATATAACAGAGGAAGAGAGGCAAAGATCAGTACGAAGGCAGCAAGACAAACATAGACGGCAAATAGTTTCTATTTGAGGACTATCCCAGGCATGGCCTGTGTTTGAGGTGTTGAAGACTGGAGACTGACCCATCACTGAAAATTCAGCAGCCTAACACCACCACCTGTGAGTTCTCTCAGGAAACAACTGGCTGGCATTGACCCTTAACTATGTTACCAATTTCATCATGTACCAGTTCTACTGAAAGGTCAGCAGGAGAAGGATGTGTGAGAAATAAGACTGGAACGTAAGTGGGAGCCTGGAAAGGGAAGGCTTTGAATGCCAGACTGAGGAATATGGAAAAGTGCTTGAAAAATTTGGTCAGGGAGGTGACTACTGGAGCTTTGGATGCCCCAAGAAAAGAAATATTCTTTTTAGACCCATTGGGCCATTTGTTCATAGGCCTATATATAATACTAAATAACTTCCCAGCACCTTCCCCTCATTGCACATATTACTCCCACTATTCCCCCTCCTCACACTGCTTCTCCCATCCCACAAACACACAGCACAAAAAGTCCAGCTGTTGTCTCTAATTTGGGCTCTGCTACTGCCTTAACCTCCCTTGGACTCAAATCACTGACCGTGTTTCAGTCCATTACACCGTGTCTTAATTCACACCTCTGACCTTTCCCAAACTGCTTAGGTGAGCAATCCCACCCATGACCCTGTGTATGGTGGGCAGAATTTGAAGAATGACCACAATGATCCTTGGCCTTGTAAAATTTCTCCACCTGAGTGTGGGCAGAACCTGGGAATATGATGAGATGCCATTCCCATGATTGTGCCATGTCTAAGAGCAAAAGGGATTCTGCAGATGTGATCAGGTTGCTGATCAAAGGGCACCTGGGTGGCCCTGTCAGTTAAGCGTCCATCTCTTGATTTCAGCTCAGGTCATGATCTCATAATTTAGGAGTTCAAGCCCCACATCAGTCTCTGTGCTGGTAGAGCAGAGCCTACTTGGGACTCTCTCTCTCTCTCTCTCTCTCTCTCTCTGCCTCTTCCTTACTCACACTTTTTTTTTTTTAATGTTTTTTATTTATTTCTAGGAGAGAGAGAGAGACAGCATGAGCAGGGGAGGGTCAGAGAGAGAGGGAGTCACAGACTCCGAAAGAGGCTCCAGGCTCTGAGCTGGCAGTCAGCACAGAGCCCGACGCGGGG